AATAGTTCTCATTAGTTAAATAGTTTTTCTTCTAATTGGAAATCCTTCCCATTACCTGCAATGAAAAAATAATTCTGTAAAAATCACCAGAAATATAGGAACAATGATAATTTAAAAATGCAAATAACATTTTGACCAAGGAACAAGAAATACTCCTCTGTTAAAAGAAAAGAAAAAGATTCTGAAGGCAAAGTATCTTTACTGTGGTAATAAAAACAATACTGCCACCTTCTGGTAAAATTTTAAATTGCAACCTGGAAATAGGAAAGGATTTAAATTTAACACTTTTTTTCTGTGACCAGCAAATCTTATATGTACTGTAATGACTCAGATTTGCTTACTAACTATAACTTCATGAAATATAATTTTTAGGATTGAAAATTTAGGATTGAACATAATTAAATTTGTGAATTTTTAAACTTTAATCTATGTACTTATCCTCAGCATATGCCACTGGGGGAAAAAGGCCGAGCTTTGGAACCACAGATACTTGGATTCAAGCTTCAGCTCTGACACTTACTAGCTTTTTGGCCTTGAAAATGTCATTACTAGGCTTCACTTGTCTCATGTGAAGTAACTCAGTATTACAGAGTATAAAATGAGTGTTACATCTAGCATTTTTCCTCATACTCAATAGGTGAGCAATAACTGGTATTTTCAATGAGCAATAGCAGCCTCATTTTCACTAGAATTACTTGATCTTTGTTGTATTTTTTTAAGTGTTTTTCATGAGCCATGTTAGCCACCAAGTTCTGTTGCTTATTTTTCAGACCTTCCAATTGCCTATCAAAGGCATGTGATAATTATTATTACACAATTTACTTATACGTTTACAAGGAAAGCCAATAATAGCTTAACTTACTCCAAGCAAGGCAAAAGCAAGATGTGTATAAGACAATAAAAAGAAAAAACTGTAGATAGCCATGGCCGATTTTGCTCAGTGAATAGAGCATCCGCTCTAAACTTCTTTGTATTACTCTCCAACTTTCTGGCACCTTTCTTCCCCAAATCAATACTTTCCTATTTTCAGAAACCCCCAGAGTTACCCCATTATCCCCTTTCTAGCCTTTGCTTTCAATCCAAACTTTTATTCTCAGAGACCAAATTAAAAATAAGACATAATTAAATCAGTCACAAAATGTAATCTACGACTTTGCCTAAAATGTACTTAAGCAGTTTCTAACTCTGATTTCACTTTAGGGTAAGGTGACCAGACGTGCCGATTTTTAACAATCTGTCCCGTGTCCAACGGCGTTTTAAAAAAGTCCCAATAATCTTTCCAAAAATCGAGACTTTTTTAAATCGCTGCAGGACGCAGGACAGATTGTTAAAAATCGGGACTGTCACGCCCGGTCAGCTTATTTTAAGGTCACCTAGAAGATTTTGTTACAAGTGAATTTAATTGGTTCTGGAAGGGGCTGAACAGGTGACTTCAAGTTTAGGATTGTTGTTAATCACTCAACCCAAACTCTAGTTAATGATTTTCAGAGTTAAAGAGTAACTTTTCTCACTAGAGAAAAAGAAATATACTAAAAGCATAGTGTTATTTCCTTTAAGTAATAGGACACAAAGATAGTAAGGGAACTAGAAACGGTGGAACTCATGCAAACAACCTCATCCCACTGCTACCTCCAAATACTTTCTGTAGCATCTATTCGCTCCACCCCTTGACAACATTCTTGGGACAGATTCCATACCTGTGAGGCCTGTGAAGTATCTGAAAGGTCTTGGTGATCTCTTGCCCCCAGATTAGAACTAACTTGTCCTATTAGAAAAGGGATAATAAACTCACTAGTCCTTCTCATCTTCTGTATTCTCCTGCAGAGGAGTGGGAAAGAGGCAAAAAGCTGACACCACCAGGACTTACATAATCTTCTCTTATAGACCTTGGCTGACCTCCATGCCCTCCTTTCTGGCAGGCCTGTAAAAATGCTGGCTTAATTATAGGGTGCAATTGTAGGTCCATAGTGACTTCTGAAGTGATCAGTTCCCAGACAGGCTGGTGCTCCCTTGAGCTGACTGCTTATACTGATGGAGAATGTAAGACATTTTTTGCGGGGCTAGCAATCTGAGTCTGTGCCAGTAACCTGCCTCCTAGGGCACACTCTTGCTAGCTGGTAATTAACTCCATTGATGCCTGTCCTGCCTTGCAGAACCTGTTTTCCCGGAATACTCCCATTTTACAGAGGCCATAAACCAAGAACCATACACAAACCCCAGAGGTTATCAGAACTGGGCCCAGGCTATGCCTTTGGGTGTGGTCTCATCCCCTATCCCAACTCACAGGGCTTTCCCCAAAGCCTGCAAAAGGTCCAGAAGCCTGATCCTCATTTGGCGGACAGACAAGAAACCAAAGGGTATAAAAGGAAAGCTTTCTCTATATTCACTCACTCAAGATTTGGAAACAGGCTCCCCTTGGTCACTATGCTAGTATATCTGAAAATAAATGGTTTTTTCCTGAATCTCTGAATACTCCCTGTGTATTTTTCGGTCGCCTGGTAAATTCTGTAACAACACACATACTCACACTAGCTCCTGCCTAGACAGTTGCTTACCCACTGAAGATGAGATCATGTCCCAATAAACCCATCATAAATGTAAAATATCACAAGTGGAAAATACATTTAATACACTTTATCTACTGAACATCATAGCTTAGCCCAGTGAACCTCAAACATTCACAGAACATTTACATTAGCCTACACTCGGGCAAAGCCATCTAACACAAAGCCTATCTTATAAAAAAAAAAAAGTGTCGAACATCTCATGTAATTTATTGAATACTGCACTGGAAGTGAAGAACGGTGGTTTTAGAGGTACTCACCATTGACATACACAGCTGACAGCACGCTGGGCCTGAAGAATGTTTGAAGCATTCAACTACAAGACACCCTGGCAACACAGTGCACTGTGGAGTATCAGGGTTTACCCTACTGATTGCCTGCCTCTTGCTTCCACTGACCAGTATCACTAACCTGGGAAAAGATAAAAAATTATCTTCCTAAGAATGTTTATTGCTTTTCAATCCTCACAGAATTGAAAAATCGTAAGTCAAACCACTGTCCAGTGAGGGAGCCTCTGCCGGACCTCACAGTGGGCAGCTCACTTGGGCAGAATCCCATGAGGGCTGCTCGAAAATGTTGTTTCCTGGCCTCTCAGGGCAGAGAAATTCTTGTCTGCAGGTCAATGCAGCTACTCCTTAGGCTTCCTGTCTGGATGTGGTGCTCTCTTGGCTTAAGCCAGGAACCCAATTCTGTGATCCTTTCTTTCCTTAACACAGTGGGGTTCATACCCTTTTCTGATGGGAATGAACTCAGCAAACGTCCAATTAGGGGGGAGATAGCAGCCTCCTGAGAAACATCTTCATCACTGGCATGATCCCCAGCGACGTTTTTTTGTTTTTTTTTTTAAATACTGCTTCTAATATTTCTTCTTTAAAATCAACTTCACTTCGGCATAATTCACTCATAGTAAAAGGTATCATTTTAATATGTAAGTTCAATTTTTTTAAGAAGACACTAACATTGCCACCCCACAAAATAGTTTTGCCATGCCCTTTTGTAAATATGGCATTAACTATTATTCTGATGCTAATTTCCTGTGTTACATCATTGCTCTATGGATACATACATGTTAACATTAGGGAAAGCTGAGTAAAACATAAGAAAACTGTGTGTACTATTTTTAAAACTTTTAATAAGTCTAAAACTATTACAAAATTTTGAAGTCAGACAAATCTAAAAAAAAAACTAAGATTCAATTATTTAGGATGTAAGGTTAATTTATTTTACTAAACCATTAAAATACTCTGATCCAATGTACTGATTCCATTTTTTAAATATAGAATTTTATTTATTTTTCAGCACTCACATAATGTATAAGTTAATGTATATTGTTTGTGGCACCAAAAAAAGACTGAAGGAGCCTGAACGTGTTGTAGTGAGGGGAAAATAACATCTCAAATTAATGTCCAATCTGCTTTCTTTAAAAATTATTACACTATTTGGATAACCCACAATAAATTTAATATAACCTTTCCAAAACATTAGTTTGCAGTGTCAGGTATTTCACAACCAACCATCTGTAACATGTATCCTACTCATAAATCTTATATAGCTATCTTTCATACATGTAAACTACTGGGTGAAGAATTTTAGTACATGTTTCATAATGTATGTGGTTTATATTGAATTAAATACATCTGTTGAGATACCACAAATCACCGGATTAACTAAATCACATTCACCAAGTTCAAAAGTACACTGCTTTTCCCTCTCCCAACCATCATATGTGCATATATTCATAAATAGACAAAGCATATTTCAAAATCTATACCATTTAATAAGGTTAAATATTTAAAAGCAACCAGTATAGTCTCATTTTAAGAAAAGTACACAACTGTTCACAATAAAAAATTTTTAAAAGAAAATAGAGATAAAATTTTATTTATATTTTCTTCTATTTTACATAGCTAAACCAAATGTAAAGTTCTCTTCCTGTATAAAAGTTTTACATTTGGAAGGAAATTCAAATATTAAAATAAAAGTTTAAGACATATGTAATTAATCACATACCAAAATCACAACAGGTCAACTGACAGACTCAAGCTTACTTAAAAATCATTACAAATTTTGAAAAATACATGTTATGCAAAATATTGTTTTTTTAAAAGTAGTATAATACCAACCCGTATAATTTAGGTGAATTCAAAAGTATAATGTTTATAAATTACAGTAGTGTCTATACTGCCCTGTCATGAAAGGAGGTATTCTTTATAAATATATATATATATATATTATAAATAAGAGACTGAGTTCCTTCAAGTGCCAACATTATTTTCACTTTAACCATTATTTAAAAGTTTGTAAAATGTATCAGAAAACTGTACATAGAATAAAATAAAACCCCTGAAACTAAAAATCATTACGAATGCCAATTATCTAGTGACTTGTTCAACAAACTATTTGTACGTATGGGGTGATTTTTTTCCTTCTTTTTATTATGTGGCCTTAAAGGAACATGTTTTCATATTTATTGTTCCCTCTCTTGCTGCTGTTTCACATTTCTATCAATGAGTTCCTTGGAATTTGCCATTATTTTACTTCTATAAATTGACTTTATGTTTAATTCAATTCCCTGCTTCCACATATAGACACAGAGAGCCTAAATTGTCCTTTAGCCTTGGCTCCAACAGGGGCAGCATTGAAAATGTTTGACTGGGTGGAAGGGAAACTGATTCTGAACTGAGGTATCACGTGTTTCTTTCCAGCCTCCCTTGCAATGTCTCTTTGGTTATTAATTTCCTGCTTCCCAAATACCTGGCTTTTTGACTACCCATCTGGCCTCAACCTCTGGTTTTTATATGTCCCTGGTTTAAGTTCATCTGTCTCTCTAATTCCTGACCCTCTGCTCCTCTAAATCTACACCTGTTTACATTCCTTCCTTCTTATATTTCTATACACAAATGCTACTGGTTTCTTCCATCATCACTGGCCACAGATTACCATGAAACATATGCTCTTAAATTCTGTGGGTTACTAGAGCTTCTGGTCCTGGTTTCCTACCAGGGCTTTTCTCTCAGTCTGCTATTGTCTGTTATTTTGGTCACAGTGTATATATAACACACTGCTTGTGAAAAAGCTAACCTTATTAAATTAGTAATCTTATTTCACAAAAATTTCAAGTGGGTATGACTCAACAATTTTCTTAATCAGTAAAACTCCTGACCAGACAGATATTGTTTTGGTTGATGTTCACTGATCTATTTTCTTCACATTCTGAGTAAACAAAGTTGACTCAAGTGAATTGATGGCTGACCTGAATTGATGGAGTGTTACAACGCTATCAGACATGTAAAACAGCCTATCTTTCAAATGAATGGATTGGTTACAGAGTTTTTTTAAATCAAGAATAATAGTGCATGCCTACTATAAGGAACACACTATTTTAGGTGCTATAAGAAATGTACTAGCTAATCATTTTTTAATGATAAAAATTAAAGTACTGAGTATCTAAACATTGATCAAAAGTTTATTAAGAAATCTTTTCAGAGAAAACCAATAAAATGCACCCGTCTTTTTTTTTTTTTTTTTTAAAGAAACCTTTTGTGTCTAATTGGCACTTTTATTTCCTGAAGCTAGTATTTTTCCCAGGAAGATATGTAATTGAATAACACTTTTACAGATTCATATTAAGAGGTAAATGTTAAAAATCAGCAATATCAACAGATTATCTCCTAGATTTCCTGAGTTAAAGTGAAAATATGTATCGACAATGCTGATATTTCTAAATTCACTATATAGTGGGACACAAAGAAGAAAACCTGTGTTATAAAAGTTTGGTAACTTTCTGTGATAAAGGACAGATTAGTATATGTCAATTTCAAAAGAAATTATATTATCTAGCTGGTTCTAAATTCATGGGCTGTCAAAAATAGCTTTGAAAATCACTCATAAAATTAACTTTTTATGCCATAAATTTTAACTAATTATTGGCTATTTTTTCCTGGTTTAGTTTATTAATTGGGAATTTCATACCTAGAGGATGGTGTGTGTGTGTGTGTGTGTGTGTGTGTGTGTGTGTATGTTTTGAGGCATTTGGTGAGGTTTTGAAGGCATAGGTCTGTTTCTTACTTTAAAATAAAACAAATGAGTTCATATATATATATATATATATATATATGCCATAAATATACACAAAAAAAAAACACATTTAATTATAAAACATCAATTTTTAAAACGATTGTCCACATTGAGTAGATAAAGGCCCAATGGCAAAGTGCATTCTTACAAATGGAGGCCAATTCTCCAGCGGTAAAACACTCTCTTCTTTTTCTATTTCATCCTTCATTTCCTGCTTTGTTGAGGTCAAGGTCCACTGAAACAGTAGACAAAACTGCATTCGAATTTTGAAATGACACCTCTGTGTCTAATGATGGCGGATTATACAAAAAGATTGCAAGCCCATTGAAGAAAATGGTGGCAATTTTACAAATAACACCTAAATATAAAAAGAAAAATTAATCATGTATCAGGCCTTTATTACAAAAATCAATTCTCACAACTAGAAAGTCTTCACAACTGGAAATTCATTACTTTAAAAAATCGAAGTGATAGGCATCATAGTTCTATGTTTTAAAATTCTACAACTTTAGGATGAAAAGTGATATTCTTCAATAAAAAGGATACATTTCAATGAACTATCCTGTATTTTCTTTCTAAGCAATAAAAACATGCAATAATTATTTTATTCTTGGTTATAATTGTACATATTTATAAAATAAGTGTTATATAGATGTAATTCCATATTCCGTTTCTAATTTTATTAGTACCCTATCTATAAAAAACTATAATCAAATGTCGATGACAAAGAAAAACAGCTTACAACATCCTTGAACGTGAAATAAAAGTTGCAGAGTTTTCATGTTCATAATGGAAAATAACTCTAAAAATAAAAAAGCTTTGAAGTTCTTAGGAGAAAGCCTCTATGAAAATATATCACATTCAATACTCAACCAAATTTGCTTATAAGCAACAAGTAACAATACGAAACATCAAGATTCACTTCACAAGCTTTCATTTGTTTTCAAAGAACTCAGATTTTGAGCTCAGCTATATTAACAGAAATTAGTTCTGGCCACATCACAAGCATTTTAAGTTCCAGTCAAAAAAGCTAAATGGCCTTACAATGCTGTTTTTGCAGTGTAGTTCCTTTGCTTGTGTTAATCATTAATATTTTGCTCAAAATGAGTATTTGAAAAACAGGAATGCTCTAAGTATTTCTAGGTTTATAGGAAGATTAATTACATAAGTATTGTTGTTACAATGTTTTTGAAAAATGTAAAGGTCTATATGTTTAGGGATAAAATTAGTCACATTTATCACAGAAGGAAAGGAAATAATTTGTTATCTGTATCTTTTGGTGAAAGAGTACAAACATAATCAATTACATTTTTAAACATGAAGACGTTTTGAACATAAAATGCTTTTTTAGCAGGTAAAAGTAGTAGGAAGATTAATTTTGTCTATTCTAATCAATATTTAATTTTCTTGTGTGTGTGTAATTTATGTATTTATTTAGGCAGTCGATGTTTTATTACTCTGTCATCATAAATTCAGAAAGCATACTCTGAGGCTAAGCACATAGAAGAGCAATAAGCTATCTTGATACATATGCCAAAACAACTGCAACCACAATTGCAATAAAAATAACACATCATGTAAATATTTTCTATATATAGAATTTGTTTTAAAATATTCTCATTTCTCAGGTTGACTTAAAATTTTTCTCTCACTCTTACAAACTAGATGCCTTGCTTTATTTCCTTTATCTTAATTTTCATTTATGGTTTAACCAAGACTATGTAAGACAGACTGCCAAAGGTAAAAGAGGTTGAATAACATGGCTAATCTTCTAAACTTAGGAAGAGATTCCCGTAACATGCCTTAGAGCCAAGGACACTTCCCTACCTCAGTTCTATGTGCTTTCCAAAGCCCAGGTACCTAGATGAAAACATTCCAGCATCTTAGAATTCTTCTTTGAGAGAAGTTGTTAAAAGGAAATTAAGCGGTATGTGATGTAATGAAAGCTAGAATGTTCTTCTATCGTAGACTGAGTCTTACAGCCTTTGTAGCCTGCGGAGACTGATCTCTGCTTCAGGAATGAACATTTCAAATCCAAAGTAACAGAAACTTTTTTCTTTTAATCTGGACATCATCCATTTGCTCTGAAGTTATTAAGAAGTCACTACTTACTTATAACCACAAGCATACGGGCCATCCTGATGTTATCATAAATCCAGCAGGCTCCTTTAATTCCACATTCATTAACATCCCAGAGAATACATGAGCTGTCTATTGCGACACCAAAAATAATTGGTCCAGGTATTGAGCCTAGAGGATTGTATGTGAAATACACATAAGTAAGGATTACAGTTTATAGTTACAGGTGTGTTTTTTTCCCTCTCTTTTAAAAAAAAATATATTTTATTGATTTCTTACAGAGAGGAAGAGAGAGGGATAGAGAGTTAGAAACATCGATGAAAGAGAATCATCGATCAGCTGCCTCTTGCACACCCCTTACTGGGGATGTGCCCGTAACCAAGGTACATGCCCTTGACCGGAATCAAACCTGGGACCTTTCAGTCCGCAGGCAGAGGCTCTATCCATTGAGCCAAGCTGGTTTCGGCATATAGTTACAGATTTTTATGTCCATGATTATATATGTATTATACAAATAAGAATAGCATTACATTTAGTTAAGTAAATATTTTAATTCACTGCTTGTCTAATTTAATGTGTCTTTGAAATTAGCTATTATACTTCTAAGGAATCAAAATAAATTATTGATGCACAAAGTAAGTACTAAAAACAGTATGTGTGTTATATGTGTGTATGCATGTGTGTACATGTACTTATCATATTGACATATATGTGGATGCATGAGAATGCATGTATACACACCACTATTAATACTAACATGCTTAGTACTGCTATGTTGAACACACACCTTCCTCCATATGAGGTCAGAAGGCGCAAAAACTTTCACATAATTAAAGAGCTTCCAATTGTTACAAATCAAATATATGATTCGAAGTGGTATTTCTTAGACAAAAGTTTCAGCTACATCCAATCCATTCTTTCATGACCTGTGGCATGACAGAGCACTGGACTGAGTCAGGAGACCATTTTCCTACTCTCATTTGCACCATTAATTGTGTAACTGTAGGCAAACCCGGAATCTCTCTGTGCCTTCATGTATCATCTGAAAAATGGGAAAGTTGGTTCAGGTGACCTCTAATGTTCCTACTTTTGGTGAGTTTTTAAAAAAATGATCTTAATAGTATGTGTATAATATGTTTGTCTTTCTTATTCTTCCTGCATCTGGTACCTTATAAAATTTTCTAGTATAAATTATTTCTTCCATCAGCTCTTAACTATTTTTTCATTATTGATGAAATATAATCATGCCCCAGAGATAAATGCAGGAATAAAAAAACATTACAGTAGTTATAGATAAGATTAGCGTAATTTGTTGGTAATGGGTTTTATATGAATAGAAAAAACTGTCTCTTATTATGCTCTATTAGAAATGCATTAATGATAATATATTATATTTCAAATAAATATGATATACTCTTTAAGGTTATATTTGCGTTTGAATTAGAAACAATAGCCAACAAAGCAGGTAGATAAAAAGTAAAGTAATTATTTTCTTATGTAATATACAAATAATATATACTTAATATTGGAAAATAATTTCTTCAACAGCAATGATGTAGTTTTCTACTGCATTTAAATTAAATACTTTCTTGGCACATATAAATAAATAAATGACACTAATGAACAAAAATAACCAAGCTACTAATGAATTGAGAAAAATGGCATACCTAATAATCGAAGCATCATAAACTGTATTCCCAAAGCTAGAGACCGTTGCTTTTGATTGACACACCTGGAGATAGTAAATACACATGAGGCCAAATGGTTGTGCAGTACATTCACACAGTATCTCAAGTATGTTGAGACACAGTGCTGGGACATGAGAGTCAGAGAGAGAAAAGAGATCAACTATAAACTTGAAGTTGAAAGGTGACATAGATAATTTTTTTCATAAATTTTTAAAAAGCAGAGTCCCTTTTTTCTAAATAACTCCAATTTCCATGTAATGAAATATTAACAGACTCAGTATGCGAAAAGGTAAGTGTCAAGGAACCAAAAGTGAAAAGGGCAAAGTTTATTAGGAGAGAAACAGAAAGGCTGATGCGCTTATGGAAGGGCAGACAGAAAATATTTTTTTTAAATATATTTTAATTGATTTTTATTATTTTTTTAATATATTTTATTGATTTTTTACAGAGAGGACGGGAGAGAGATAGAGAGCTAGAAACGCCGATGAGAGAGAAACATCGACCAGCTGCCTCTTGCACACTCCCTACCGGGGATGTGCCCGCAACCAAGGTACATGCCCTTGACCGGAATCGAATCTGGGACCTCTCAGTTCGCAGGCCGACGCTCTATCCACTGAGCCAAACCGGCTTTGGCGACAGGAAATATTTTTACAATGAGATGTAGGAGGAAGAGCAACCAAAAGTACACAACACTGTGAAGAGCCAGATGACAGCGGGCTTCTTATTAGTGCTGTTCACAGGAAGGCTTAAAATCATAGCACCTACTGTCTAAGGTAGAATGCATGTTATTCTGATTCTGGCATAAATGGAATGCATTGTATTTCCATCATATTCATATATAACTGAACATATTTCACCTTATAACTGAAGCCTCAGAAAAGAAGCAGAGAAGCTGAGTGACAGGTGGACAATGTCAGGACACTTTTCACATACAAGATTTCACTTAAACTCATATGAAGTAGGTTTTTTAAAAGCACCAAACTAATGATCTTGTAAGGGCTGAATTCATATTAGAACAAGGTCAATATAAACCCAACCTTTTTTTTTTTTTTTTTTCTTTTTCTTCATTGAACATGCTGCCTTAGGGAAGGCAAATTTTAAAATACAATACATACCTTAGGATGGACACAGTGACAGGAGTACCGGCCATGAAGGTAAAAACAATTGCAGCAAAGAAAACGCCAAGGAATATGGGCAAGTTTGTACATTGAGTTTCACATTTTCCAGCTTTAGCTTCATAACCAAAACTTTCTGCAGGATGTGTTATTTCTGTTTTCATTTCAATACAGGAACAGTTGTAATATGCCTAGAATATTAGACATAAAAATACCGAAAGTGTTTAATTTGAAAACATGTTTTATCATTATAAATTAGGTAATCTCTAGACTTGGTTCTCTCCTGCAGTCTTCATCCATACACAACAAATAATACAGAGAAAGAGTAATAAGCACTAAGAAATTAAACAAGGGAAAACAAGCAGCCATATTTATGAAGCAGAATCATCTCTATTTGTCTTTTGGGTACATTACTTCAATTTTTAATCTATTATTGACTCAGGATTTGTAAAACAAATTGACGAAATTATAGCAATATGTTATCAAACTCGTTCTACACTGTTTTGAATGAGCATAACTGTTCAAATAATTTACCTGCTCACTTTCTTCATTTCCATTCTAGGACACACAAATAAAGCATCATAGTGACACTCTCACCATTACACTAGTTTGAAATAACAAACACTATAAATAAGTGCTTTAGTAAAATTAACTAATGTGTCACAAGAGTTGGGGGGAAAATTGATGCTTTCAATTAAACCTTTTTACTATAATTTTCTGAACTTATTGAGTTGTTTTATCAAAAGCAAACTGTCTCCCTCTAAGATGACATATTTATGAATATCAAAATCTAGAAGTGATTACATTATCTGGTAGGCTATTTTACATATAAATAACATACACATATTAATTAAAAATATGAAATGTTGAAAGGCAACATATAAATAAATCACAAGTATTGGTTTTGCATGAAAAAATAAGATATTTTAAAAGTTAGTCATGATTAGTTTTTAAAGCCCTTTTACATCTTAATTCCATCCCTGCAATAAATCTTTTTACATATTAAAAGACTCATGAATGAAGTCAGCAGAGCCAGAAAGGTCAAAAGGAAGTGGTGCTTTTATTGTTCTGAAGTCAGAGACCTTTTTGGTTGCTAAAATGTCCTATGGCCAGGGGTTCTGATTCAGGACACCCAAACATACCAATGACACCCCCCTTGGACTATTTGAGATTCAGGAACCAGATGCATCAAACATGAAGTAATGTTACCTTTTAAAATTTTCAGAAGAAAAAATGAGAAGTTTTCTTGTCTTTTTTTCTAAATGTTTGTTTTTATACTTAAAAAAAAATTATCACAGATGTCCTTCTTCCCCCTTAGTCCTTTTTTAGTTTTGTCCTGTTTCTGATGAAACTTTTCAACTTTCTTGCATAAAAAATTATACATTTGCCTAAGTATAGTTGTAGTTAGTCAGCATCTGTTTTTATATTTTGGGCCACTAGTGTTAAATATTAAAATTAATATTTCTGTGAACAAATGTGTATATTTAATACATTATTATCAGTGCATTAGCCTATCTGAAATATTCTGTAAGAAAAAAAATCCCAAGAAAAAAATTAGTTGTTTTACATGGATGGAATATCCTATATATTAAAAGCCTACTATGCAAATTATCCCTTACACTGGGAGTCCAACCACTCGCTATGACATGTGACCACCAGAGGGTGGCACAGAACATGGTGGGTGTCAGTGACACTGCATTGGCTGTGGGTGGCAGTGGGACTGCTGTGGGATGGTGGAGCAGTAGAGCCAGTGGTGCCAGGCTAAGACCGGTGCAAGTGGAATCCAATCACCCTACCAATCGCCTCACAGACAGTGACCAGCAGAGACAAGGAACAGGGCTCCTGCTCACTCCCCGGTGCTGAGGGAGCCAACAGGGTGCCGGCCCCAATCAATCGCCCTGCAGGCAGGATGGTAGAGGGGTTGCGATCTTTTTTTAAAACATATTTTTATTGATATCAGAGATGAAGGGAGAGGGAGACAGAAACATCAAAGATGAAAGAATCATTGATCAGCTGCCTCCTGCATGCCCCCTATGAGGGATCAAGCCCGCAATCCTGGCATGAGCCCTGACTGGGAATCAGACAGGGAATCAAACTGTGACCACCTGGTTCATATGTCAATGCTCAACCAATGAGCAACACCAGCCAGGCAGATTTTACTTGCAATCTTAAATTTATTTTTATAAGGGCGGAAAAAAAAATGCTATTTCACTAGTCCATATTTTAGATACTCAAGATTATGTTCTTTTGTTACCTTATTCATGTGTCCTTTTATATCATAATATATATTTCCCACAGATGTTTTTAGTGTTATCACATTATCTATTATTGCCTAACATATTATGTAGTACTAGAGGCCCAGTGCACAGATTCGCACACATTGAAAGGAAATTAATTAGAAGACACATTTTAATATCACCATTCATCCTTTCTCTATAATACAAGTGTCAACCAAATGCACAATTGACAATGACATATGAAAACACACGCGTGTGATTGGTGCCAGCAAGAGCTTTATACGTATTGTGCATGTGTGAGTCAATGTTTACTTTTAAACTGCTAATGTGCATCATGTGTACCAGCCAGTCAGTCAGTCAGACGGATTGAAAGTTGCTCACTTAGCTTTTTATATATATAGAATAGTAATGTGACTAGTTTCCAAGACTCTTAAATTTAGCTAAGATGAAATCTTTAGATTATATATATATATATATATATATATATATATATATATATCTCCATTAAACTCTATTGGATTTTATTAAAACAATTTGACTACATTTAAAAATAAATATCTAGGTAAAATGATACACATTCCAATACAGAATTTAAACTAAATTTGTATTTGAGATTGAGATAATGATTTAATATCCATATAATAAAAGCCTAAGTGACCCGTTATGGTGAAACGACCAGAATGAAGGGTCACTATGACACATACTGACTGCTATGGGGCAGACTCTCAATGCAGGAGCTTCCCCCTGGTGGTCAGTGTGCAATCACAGGGGTCATGCCACTGAGCCAGAAGCCAGGCTCACAGCTGGCGAGCGTGCAGGCCAGGCTAAGGCCCCCTTCTCTCCATAGTGCATGAATTTCGTGCACCGGGTCTCCAGTTTTTAAATAAATCCATTGTGTATCAAATGAAAGCAACAAATATTTATGATGTTACTACTAAGTACACTGTAGTTAGCAAGAATAGGACAAGTTCCCTGACTTCAAGGGAGGTGTATAGTTGATAAAAAATAAATAAATAAAACAATCAAAAAAGATAAATAACACTTTACTGCTGTAATAAAAGTAATGTTACAAAGATGTATGTAACTGCTAAGTTAATTTTTTTACAACAATTGCATCTCAGGTTTAAAAGAAGGCTCTTTCTCTATTGGTGTGGTCAGATTTTTGGTGTGTGTGTGCACACATGTGTGCACATGTGCATGTTTAAGGTAAGATCTACTATCTTAACTAATCCTAAGTGTACGATACATACTTGTTGACTATCAGTACAATGTTGTGCAGCAGATCTCTAAAGCTTATCCATCTTGTGACTAAAGCCTTATGCCTGGCTTCTGAATGGAGGAGATGGGCCCAGAAGGAAAGAACAGGCATTGTGTGATTCCATAGAGGGACCAAGAAGGCCATCCATACATAGACAAATACACTGCCTCTTTAAGGTGAAGTAGCAGACACAAGTTACCTCTGAACGTTTCATTGAAACAGAACTTTTACAGCCTGCAAAGCAGGGAGAAAAGTATTGGACTCCATCTCTGCCACAGACAGGATAATAATGTGACCGCATGCAGTTACAGTTGGCATTACAAGGAGTGGTCAAGTTTCCCAGGTTTCCTGTCCTGTCAACAAGAAATGAAAAATGGGAAAATTATCTCTGTTGTAATATTTAATGAACAGTCCAGAAGCATTGGTATTTTTTCCAATGTAGTCATTTATTCACTCACTCAGCATATATTTAATTATTAAATAAATAAACAAAATGTAAAAAAAAAAAAAAAAAATTTGCCTTTTCCCATAGTTTAATTTTTGTGGAAGTGAGAAGCATTTGAAACAATCTGTCTATATAAAACTCTAATATGCAAATAGACCAAACAGCAGAACAACCGAACAACAGTAGAACATGGCAGCTATTGGCTGCAGCAGGATGATAAAGCAGGTGAGGAGGGGGAGCAAGACCAAGGTAGAGCTCTGGTAGCTGTCATTGGGGAGAGCCTCTGGTAGTTACTGAAAATTCTTTGCTCCCACACTCCAAGGTCCCACCTAGCGCTCGCCAGCACCAGCCCTGCTCATACCTGCTGCCAATGCCAAAGCCGCCACTTGCACCCACCACTGGCCCCGATCACTAGATGCCATCAGCAGATGCAAGTGGCGGCAGCTGCCAGTCCCAATCGCCCCTGAGAGCATCTCCATCTCCCCCTGCTGCTGAGTGTGATCTGGGCAGCAGCCACTGGTCACATATGCTGCAAGTGCTAACTATGATTGCACCTGCTGCTAGTGGCAACCCAATCACTCCGCACTGTCAGCGGATGCGAGTGGAGCTGGTGCCATCAATGAGTAGGAGCGGTGGCAGAGAGAGTGGGGCTACCGGCAGACAGGGGACTAGGGGCTGCAGCAGGAGAGGCCGGGCAGGGTGCAGAGGATGGGCCCAGACCCACTCCTGTGCCCACCACAGCCTCGAGGCCCACAGTTCCTTTCAAGGTGCACGATTTCATGCACTGGGCCCCTAGTGGTTATATATTATGTCAGTCAGTGAGAAGAAAAATAGGCAGAGTAAGCAAACATAGTTTATCATTTGATAGCAGAGAACTCCTTTTTTTAGAGAGGAGGGGCTGATTCTGAAGACTACGGGGTATTCTGCAGCATCCATCCTGGATGCCAGTAGCATCCCCTTAATTGTGACAACTGAAATGTCCCTAGACATTGCCAAATTTCCCGGGAATACAAAGAAATTTTTAAAGCTAAAAAGATGAGTAAAATCATGGTATTCAACATATTCATTTTAGCAATAGGAAAAATGAAACCCACAGAGATTAACTTACTACTTTCCTTTCTTTGTCAAATATAATACTCCTGGTTCCCAGGCTCAGTGTTATTCCAAGCTGCCTCTGAATAGGAGGCAATATAAAGGGTTACCCTAAGCAAGGAAACCTGTCCAATCCCATATTTATTCATTGACTTAGCCAATTATATTGAGAAAGTGCTGGGCCCTATGCTAGCTATTGGGAATACAAAGCTGAGTACGCAATCCGTTGTCCTCAAATATTTCAATCTGGGAGCAGAGAGAGATGGACACATAATTATACACAGTCTGGTGAGTGTGGTTAAGGTAGAAAATACCAAAGGGACTCACATCTATATCATTCATCTGTCAAGGTGATAAATTAGTGACGTTATCCAAAACTTTTTGTTCTTCCAAGAGGAACATACAAAACAAGTCATTTCTTGGGACAGGTTTGGGTGAAGTTTACAGATGAGAAAGCCAGGTCTGCCCAACTTCCACAGTCCCAGGTATTTTTCTACTATTTCCAGACACAGGACTGAGTCCATACAAACAGGTTCCTGAGCCAAGCCTTCATTTTCTAGCATTTATTGGCTTAACATATCTCCTCTACTGTTCCCTCTTCTAAAATCTTCATCTCTCAAAACTTTTCACATCCTGAAAAGATATTTAATCACATTTTTCTCTTATGCCACAAAGCTTTCCTGAATCTAGTCAAAGGAAACTGAAAAGCTCTCTTTGAATTCCACACCCTTTGTGTGTCTCTCATTACCTAATGCATTATTCATTCACTGTTTTGTTTCCCAGTCTCTCCTTTTACACGGAAAACGCCTTCAGTGCATAGGTTTTTGCAATAAGTTCTGCCAGAGGGAGCAGTCAACAAATGCTGACCATATGCGGTGGAACGGAACTAAACATGGCTTTACAACACTCAGCATCTCATTAATGTAAAAGAATGACAAACATGAGCAGAAACTACCAGTCATAACTGTTAATGGGAAACTTTTCCCAAATATATCTCCTCAGGTTATCTGAACGCCATATCATACAAAATCATGGAGTCCCTGACCTGGAGTATCATCTCCCTCAAAAGTGTCAAACATATAAAATACACTGCCATGCAACCTCCTGAACCCCTGCTCAGGACCTCGGACTTCAGTGTGAAACAAACAAAGCAAAGAAAAGCAGAACAGTTAAACCAGTCATGGGTAGAAGGCACATGTTTATAGATCAGAAGGATAAGAAGTAATTTATTCCACTATAGTAAACCTGAACTTCTAAAGCCAATAAAGCAATGATTAGTATCACCTAGGACTAGCTTCATTTTAACTTCTCTCCTAACCCATTTTCAGCCCACCTAATATAAGACTTGCGCCATAGCGAGGCATCTTCATTTTTTAAAATTCAAATTAATAGGGACATACAATGTGAAAGCCTCCCTACGATGTGAATCCCCTCTGGGCAAAGATTCTGCTATATTCCATCATTATAACCCTGAGCAAAGCACTCAATACAGAATAGTTGCTCTCTGAATAAAACCCAACTTAAAAGGTGCCTATTCTTACAAAAGAAAAAGCTTTTTAGTTAAAACATTAAAAAGCCAATCTCTCATCACTTTACCATATATTTAGAAATATACACATGGTTCGTTACTCCGATATTAATATAAAAAAGCATTGAAACATACTTACCCATTATATGATTCAGACACTCCAGCAAATGGCTCATTTTCACAGTTGGCATAAACAAATACAAAGCTCAACAGAAGTGAAATTAAAGTTGTGTGCAAAGCAAACTTCATTGTGTTTTTACATGTCATCTTGAACTTCGAAACAAGAACTCCACCTAAAATCTGACCCAGAGCAGCACCAGGAATTAAAATAGCCCCTAATGAGAAAGAAGACAAAAAGCATACAAATATACTCAGTAACTCCTGGAAAACATAAAAAACAAATAGCAAATTCTTTTTAACATATGAAAGCATTAGTGATTTAGACACATGAGTAAATGATTTGTTATACTAAGAGATTAAGAAAATTAATGTTTTAAATATTAACATTACTATATAGTCTCCTTAGCTATATAGCTATACAGCCTCTGTACCTATCATGTTCATACAAAATATTGTTTGATGTCAGAAAATCAGAAACTTGTATCAAAATCAGTATAAAGTTTAAATTTCAAGGACTCAGCTATCCAAAAGTATATGCTATTACATTAGACATTTAAATTGGTACAGTAAGATTACGCTAGGACAAAGAAAATGCTTTACCTCCAAGGGTAGCTGCAAAGCTGGACGACAATCCAAACTGGTTTTCTATAAATTTAGGTAAAAATGTAGCAAATCCAGTAGTAACTAAGGCTTCTGAAGAAGTTGATATAACTAAACACATGAAGACAGTATTCCTCATGGACTTCTAAAGAAAAAAATACAGTTCATCAAATGAATAACTATGATACAGCACAGAATGTGCAAAATACAGCACAGAATGGCAACTTTATAATAAAATCCATACGCTTATCCATAACATTTCAGCTTTTTCCTCTAACACAAAAGTATAAATATGGGTTAAATAGCTTTATTTAGACAATGTTGAGAAAATGTATCTGTGAAGCACTTGAGAGAATCGACAAATGATGCATCAGTAGGATGACTGTGCCTTTATCATATGCAAGGGACCTGAAAAAGGAGGTATGAACCACTTGGAAAGCCTACCTTTCCCCAGTCTTATAAAATCTTCATACAATAAATCTGTCCCTTATCTGACATTTTTATTGTGTTCTGAATTGCTATGTCCAGTAAGTGAGCATAGAGAATAGTCTTTAAGTATCAAAGTTGTAGTATTGTTCTGAGTCTATAACTCAGTAGTTCAGAAACTTAAATAGGCAGAGAGCTAAGTCATTTTAAAAAGGTGTCTATGATGTTAGCCTTCTCAGAATGTTATCTATCTATCAGAAGGGAGTGTAAACATTCATTAATTCAATATACTTAATCAAATATTGAAAACCAAAGTATAGTTCTGAAATATTAAATACAAAAAAATTCATAAAACCAACACAATACATACAGACACATATGTGCACACACACAAACACATGAGTCAAAGGCAGATGTGATCTAAGAAAAAGTAAATAATTTCAAATCTCAAAAAGATAAAATTACAAATTTCTTTATGTATAAAATTTTTATAATGCTAAATAGAAAGAATGCTTTTCTACTGAGTTCAAAAGAATAGATCATAACACTTGTGTCTTTAACCTCAAGTTCAAACCAAGTAACCACTAACCTCCTCTTCTTTCACAAGACAAATATTTAGGTTTGGCATTCTCAAATATATATTTACCATTCAGTGATAAATGATTGATCCATTATATAAAGGAAATGGCATGGACTAACAGGTTATTGAGCTAATAAAGAACCACTGAATATTGATATTGCCAATAAAGTAACTCATGTTCTTTCAAACCTTCTATTCTGAAATATTTTTCATTTACTCTAAGTTCAAAGTTAAAAAAAAATTAAATTTGAGGGTTTTTTATAAGAGCTAGAATAATAGTAAATAAGCAAACAGCAATGAATGCATTGTGGAAATAGTCAAACAACAATGCATTGTGGGAATATTTGTATGGATATGTGTTTATGTACATATGTAAAGTATACATATATCTACATATGTATGTTTGAGGGTGGGTGTGTATATAAACCATGTTATTTTACCTTTAGTGCAGCTGGAAAATCTTTAAAACTTTCCCCAAAATTCTCATCTATACGATCTAAGGAACTATTACTCTGATGAGTCTGGGAAATTTTTCCATCTTGAACTTTTGCTGTACCTAAAAAAAAAAAAAAAAAAAAAAAAAAAGGTAAATGTTCTTGCTCTATCACTTCATTCTTCATTTAAAATATACTTTTTAATTGACACATTCTTCTACACTTATATAAATTCCATAAGAATCTAGTTCCTCTTTTTGTAAAAACAAACAAACAAACAAAAACCTGTATAAATATCCAAGTCTGCAATCTGGCAAGCGTTAATATTTAGTATTTTTACAATTAGCTAAGGAAGTTCCAACTGGTCTAAAATTTAAGATGAGACAACCTTCCTCTAATCGCATATTTATTCTCTATTATAAAACTTTCTTTAAAATTATCTCTTTTGCTCAAATGTTTTTCTTTCACGTCTTTTATATATTAAACAAAGTATGTTTGTGGCTTTTTTTCTTTTACTCTCTTTAATTCTAACATACTTTGCAGATGAAACAATGTTTAATATCTATTACCAGGGCCCTTTGATTTTTAATAATGGTTCCATGAATAAATCTGAGAAAACAATTAATATATTGAATAATATAATAAGTTGGATGGTCCAAAGTATAAATAAATAAATAAATAGATAAATAAATAAATAAATAAATAAATAAGCCCAGCCAGTGTTGTTCTATGCTTGAGTACTAACCCCAGTTCAATTCCAGGTCAGAACACGTGCCTTTGGCTGCAGGCTCAATCCCCTGTACAGGGCATACAGAAGGCAACTGATCCATGTTTCTCTCTAATCAGTGTTTCTATTTATCCCTATCCCTTACTCTCTCTAAAAAATCAATAAAAACAACTTAAAAAAAAATAAAAAGCAGTGGTCCCATCTACTTCTACTCTGTCAATATTTGTTTTGCCCATTTCCAAATGGTAATCTTCTATCCTTTTTTAAATAATAGAAACAATACATATGTGTGTATATATAACAACAATGCATTATGGAAATATTCAAACAGCAATGCAAACCCTATCTATCAGTATTATGCAAATGGACTATAACTCCACTACACCCACAAGCCACACCCACAAGTCAATCAGAAGTGAATATGCAAATAAACCCAACCAAGATTAGCTGTGGCCATGGAAAGAGCAGGTGGGAGGCATGGATTTCCCTGGCAATGGAAGAAGCCAAGCTTTCCACCTGCCATTGCCAGCCCAGGCCTCCACTCAATGCTACAGTTTCAATGATAGAAGATAAATAAATCCCAACAAAAATGGTGGCAGCCACGGAGCTGGAGAAAGCAGGAGGCTAGGGTTACCCCCAGAGATGAAAGAAGCCAAGCTTTCTGCCTGCCCTTGCTGTACACATCCTCCACTCAATGATACAAATTTTGATTATAGAAGATAAATAAACCCCAACATAAATGACTGTAACCATGGAGCAAGCAGGAGGCTTAGTTCCACTCAAGGCTATAAAGTTTCAATTATAGAAGATAAATAAATTCTAGATACCAGGGCCTCCGCTTGGGTTGCTGGGAGACTGTGGGCTGGCCAGTAAACCACCACAGGCCCCTAGCCTAGGCCACTCCACACCCCAAGGGAACCCCCACCTTGATCCGGGACACCCTTCAGGGCAAACCAGGTTCCCAACCATGCACCAGGCCTCTGGCCTATCTAATCCTATCTAATAAAAGAATAATATGCAAATTGACCATCACTCCAACATGCAAGATGACTGCCCCCATGTGGACACAAGATAGCCACCACAAGAAGGCCAGCAGGAGAGGGCATTTAGAGGCAAACAGGCTGGCAGGGGAGCAGGTAGGCATCAATCAATTATTATTTTTTTAAAGATGTTTTTATTTATTTATTTATTTATTTATTTTAGGCTGGCAGGGGAGTGGTTAGGAGGTGATCAGGCTGACAGGCAAAAGCAGTTAGGGGCAATCAGGAAGGCAGGCAGATGAGCAGTTGGGAGCCAGGAGTCCTGGATTGTGAGAGGGATGTCTGACTGCCCCTTTAGGCCTGATCCTCGCACCTGCTCTCTCTGTGGCCTAAAGGGGCAGTTGGATATCCCTTGAGGGGTCCCAGATTGGCACTGGGCCTCCTAGAGTGTGTGTGTGTGTGTGTGTGTGTGTGTGTGTGTGTGTGTATGTGTGTATATATATTAGAACTTCATGATTATGCAGAAGCAAAATGTCAGAAAGAAATATTCTCTTCTATTAATCTTTTCTTGTTTTTGAACAGACTAGTAAAAATGAGTATCCTACAGCATATCTTTGAGGATAATTGAAAGAAAAGCACTTGTACTTTTAACAGCAAATAATAAACATCAATGATTTAAAGCAGATGGGCTCTTGAATTTAGTGACTAAATACAAATAGTTTAAAAGATATTATATCTTATATAGATATATACAGGATTGTAGATAACAAATAAGCAACAAATTTATTAAGTATAAAGTAAATAGGTGAATATGTACAGTTTTGCTGATTAAGAATTGAAAATTAAAGGAAACCATGAATATTAAGATTTCTCCCTAATATTTCCAAAAATAGAGAAAGCTATTCAAAAGTTTGCATAGGCCAAAACTGAGATTCTAAAAAACAAATAAATTTTCTATGCTTCTTACCAATCATATAGAAAGCAACACTCAACCTAGAATTGGACTAAAACTTTCTTGTCTTAAAGATATTATTTTTACCTGGTAAATGTTTTGGAAAGCAAGAAAAAGGTATTATTAAACACCAAGCACAAAAACAAGCCATAAGAAATCCAATCCACCATGCTCCAAGCCATCGTGGGTCATCCTCAGTTATATCAGTGCTATATGACAGAAAAACAAAAGGTCAAAAAGTCTTCATTCTCTGCCATATTAAATACGTCTCACAGCATATCTGACCTATGTTAAAAGCCCATACACTGTGCTTCAATTACAGCATTCTTTTAAATATAAGTCTTTGTAAAATGATTCATTACATTTTTACAATGGTTTCATATTTTATAATAGACTCTTCCCCAAAATACTACCTCCACTCCTACAAAACTTATGCAATTCTCCACTGAAATTAAAATGTCCTTTCTTAAAATCAGCTCTCTGCTTTAAGGCTTCCCCTATCACTTATTTCTATAGTCTCTGTATGAGACAAATAAATATTACCTTTTATTTTCCTCCATGTTCAGTTATTAAAACTGCACAATTGTGATCTCTAAGATATCATTAGAGATACTAGATAACTTAGCCTGAGAATCATATACTTTTGACTCTTCAAGCTACCTACCTCCTGTTAAATCTACTAAAATCATAACTAATTTTGATTAAATTCTTTTGAATAATCTATGGCATCTTATATGTGCATAGAAAAATTATACCATGTGACTATTAAATATCCTTATTTGTGAATAATAAATGTTTTATACAAAAAGATGGTATGAATTAACTCATGAAACAATGTAACCAAAACATTACATAAAAATTGTGTGTATTTAGTTTTGTTTCCTGAAAAAAAAATCTTCATAATATGCTAAAGAAATACTGTGAAAATATTTCTGTCTATGATGCTAACACTAAAATAATAAAGTAAATTTAAATAAAAGAAAAACAGATATTGCCTTGCCTTTGTTCCAAACCAATATCAATGTACACGGTTAACAGCTGTCCTCCCAGCAAATAGCCAACAGCTGGGCCTAATATTGACATAGAATAGCCAATTCCTAGAAGGACAAAGACAAGAAAAATTGTCATCTGTACAAGTTTGCTTTAAATGTCTAACAATAGTAAAGATACACATATTTTACTATAGAAAAATCAAAATGGTTAGAATTACATGAAAATTACACATATTAGCCCCAGCTGGTTTGGCTTAATGGACAGAGCCTCGGCCAAAGGCTCCTGGGTTCGATTCCCGCTAAGGACATGGACCTTGGTTGCAGCCTCCTCCCCAGCCCTGGTCCTGGTCAGGACACCTGCAGGAGGCAACAATCAATGTGTTTTTCTCACATCAATGTTTCTCCTTGCCTTTCCCTCTCTCTTCCACTATCTCTAAAGGATCAATGGAAAAATATCCTCAGATGAGGATTAATATAAAAAAAAAAGATACAAACAAAAAAAAATTACACATATTTTCACACACACACACACACAAATGTGATGCCATTTGAATAATATCACTTGTAAAAAACAGCTTAAATTATATAATTTAAAAGCTATTACACTGAAATAATAATTCCAATAACAATAGTTACAATAAATCTAGTTATTATAAATCCATGAGGGTTATATCTTTAACTGGTGACAGGGGTAGTACACTGACTATTATCCTTTATAGATGGTTGTATTAATTATTGTTTACAATCCTTATGGAAAATATAGGAAAGTATAAGCCTTTTCCACTCTGTACACACTACAAAAGCCTTCTTTATTTTATATTACAGCAGTTGATAAAAACCTGGATCTGGTCATTAGTCTGTTTCTTAAAAAACAAACAATTCATTTAGCCACTTGCTTTTAGTGAACCTCCCATTTTTACTTGCAGCAGAATTAAACGGACCTTATTCTCTCAGATATGTAAAAATTCATCATATGTAACATTTAAATTTTGCAAACTAACCCTTCACCAAACTCTGAATCAGTGGGTACTCTGATCTTGGGCTTCCCAGCCTCCAGGAGTTTTAAGAAATAAATACATGTTGTCCATAAGCTAACCAGTCTATGGTATTCTATTATAGCAGTATGAATGGACTAAGATAGTCCTCTACATCACTAGTAGAATAATAAATTGATAAAGTAAAAACTTATGTGCAAATAAATTGCACATTAATTGGCGATAGGGCCTTGGATTGACTGTAGGGCCATATAGCTCTCCCTTGCAGGTACATCTGGAAAGGAATTTGAGATAAATTTATGCTATCAGAAAATCAAATCACAAAGAGCGGGTGGGGTGGGATGAGGGGAAGAATCCAATTATATAACAAAAGTGTTAATCTGAAGTGAAAAATTCCTCAGAGTTTCTGGGCACTACCTCGTGTTTTCTTTTGTTGACTTTAGTCAGTAGGATGTAGTAAGTCCCATAGAGTGGCAGAGCTGCATCTCCACACCCTGTGTAAATCAGCCTGGCATCCAAGCATTCTAGAGAGTCTACCACTTGAACAGCCCTTCCAGGAAGATTGGCATGCCCAGTATAAGAAATAGTGCAGGACATTCAACAAAATTCAATGGAAAGACATGTTATGTCAGTAAATAATAATTTTTAAAACAGCAATATTGCATGTATCTGATAGATACTCTTATGACACTACAACTAATTTTAAATAAGCATATGCTATGTTTTACTTATAAATTTAAATATCAATAAGATGAAATGATACTCAGACATTCATATTACAGAGCAAACTTACCTATATAGAGAGAAGATTTGTGTGTGGGTACAGAGTCATCAAGAAAGGCTGTTCCCAGCGTATAGAGGGGAGTTCCTCCTGCTCCTAGCAACAGTTGTCCCAAGATGAAGACATACAAGAAGTTGGAAAGTGAAGAACTTGAAGAGGTACAACTGGTACTATTCCTTGCTATTGAACAAGTATCTTTAGAAAAGGAAAAATAAAATTGTAAGCATAAAGAAATCCAGAGAAAAACAAACATCATATGGTTTTACTTACATGTGGCATTTAATGAACAAAATAAATCAACAAACATAATAGAAACAGACTCATAGAGAACAGACTGACAATTAAAAGGGGGGAGGGAACTGAGGGGCTGGGTAAAAAAGGTGAAGGGATTAAAAGAAAAAATGAAAAATAAAACTTATGGTGATTATCAGAGGAAAAGGGGAGTGGTGGGAAGTAGGAGAGGGCATAAGTGGTGACGGAAGGATAGTTGATTTGGGGGGTAAATACACAAAACAATATACAGATGATGTATACAGAACTGTACACTTGAAACCTATATAATAGTGTTAACCAATACCACCCCAATAAATGCAATAAATGAATACATGAGCACAGAAAAAAAAAATCTATAAAAAAAGAAATTCAGCCGAAACCAGTTTAGCTCAATGGATAGAGCGTCGGCCTGTGGACCGAAAGGTCCCAGGTTCGATTCTGGTCAAGGGCATGTACCTTGGTTGCGGGCACATCCCCAGTGTGCAGGAGGCAGCTGATCAATGATTCTTCTCATCGATGTTTCTAACTCTCTATCCCTCTCCCTTCCTCTCTGTAAAACATCAATAAAATATTTTTAAAAAAAGAAAAGAAAAGAAATTCAGCTAATAATTTAAATATTTATCTTGGAGAAATGGTTGATTCTAGGACTGGGCAAGAATTATACAGGATGAGCCTGGATCATCTCATAGTGCCAACAAGTAAAGAAGTGTTAAAAACAAACAAACAAAACCACACAATGATGGAGGTCTGTCAAAGGGACACATGAGCCAACTGAAAGGATTCTGATAGCTAAAGCTGGAATAATTTGAGCAACAAAATTAAGCAGTGTTGGAATACACATATATCCACACTGAAAATCAAAAGGCTAAATAAACAAACAAATGTGGGAGAAAAAGACAAGTTTTTAGTTCAGAAGCATGTCTCGTAATTTATGTCAGTAGTCTACCCTCAAAGAGGTGGAGCATAACACCCCACTTCTAAAGTGTGCATGCACATAGTGACTTTCTTCCAAAGAGTATGTGCGGAAGGCAAGAACAAAGAAGAGTGACTTCACAGTGTATCAACCTGAAAAACAGTACCTCAATCAGGTGATCAAGATCATCATCAAGAGTAATAAGTGATGTTGAGAATGTATACCCTTGATGTGATGAAAATGTCATTTTGCCTGGGTGGTCCTCTCCTAAAAAACCCATAACCCCAGTCCAATCACCAGGTAAATTCCAGTAGAAGGCTATTCTACATCTGACTCGCACGTCTCAAAACTAACAAGGTCATAGAAAAAAAGGGAAATATCTGAAAAATCATCATAGCCAAGAGAAGCCAATTGAGCATGACAACTAAATGTTACACAGTACCCTGGATCAGATCCTGAAATAGAAGAGAACATTAGATAAAAATTAAGGAGATGTGAATAATGTATGCACTTCAGTTAATAATTATAAACATTAATGGATGATATATTAACATTAGTTCATTATTGCAAGAAATGTAGCATATAACGTTAATAACAGGGGGAAATGGAAACTATATACTATCTTCAGAATTTTTCTGTAAATCTAAAATTGTTCTAAAAGTCAAGTTTAAAGTACAGAATAAAACAACCCATTATAAAATACAGGCTTAAATGTTCATAAAAATTAATAGTAAGTAAATAAATAATAAAAATACATAATAGCAATTTTAATTAAGCAGATTCCACCAAAAGATGCAAGAATAAACAGAAAAAGTTAAAACAACAGAATTTAATTTTCATCTTTCTAAGTCCAGGAGCACAAATTGTTAAAAATAGACAAAGAAAGAGAAAACCTCTACAATATAATGGGTAACATTGAATTTAGGAAAGCATACCAAATTCCATTCTCTGATTAAATTGTGCCTTCCATTTTTAGGTCCTATGGACAAGTCTAAGAAACACCAACCAAAATATTACAGTGCAAAAATGTCTATATACATTCCAAAGACTAAATGACAATAAAATCTATGATCAAAATAAAACAAAACTAGAAACTTCTAGGCCCTTCTATTGAAAATTCAAAAAAATTTTAAACTAATAAATTATTCTTAGGTCAAAAAAATTTGGAATTACAAAGTTTCTTGAAATGATTCTAGAAATAAGGCAAATCAAAAATTATATGCTAAAACTACTATAATAGTTATAAGAAAGAATCTTATTTAAATAGAAAAAAAACACCAAAAATAAAAAAATCAAAATATAAAATATATAAAAATAAATCACACATTAATGACCTGTGCCTAACACTACCACCACTGCAGCTAGATGAGATTATAGAAAATCTATAGAGAAAATAACACACAAAAGAATACCTAGAAAAACAATGAAAGAGGCAAGTAATTAAGAGGCTTCCCAAAAAACAAACAAAAAAACAGAAATCTGATTAATGGAATAAAAAAAAATCATAATTAACAAAAATAATTTGAAATAATCAGTAAAATATGCCAGTAGCTAAAATAATGAAAAAGAAGAAATAATACACGAAATAAGGAATTAAACTCTAAAGAGAGGAAATTTTTTTTAAATCACAAGAAATTACTTAGAGCAGATTTCTAGAAAATAAATTTGAAAATCTAAAATGATTAATTCTCAAGCCCACATTCAGAGATGAATTTTACCAATCTTGCAAATATTAAGCAATGACAATAATAATGCTACTTAAAACTATTCCAGAACATAGAAAAAGGGTTAAAAAGTACCAAATGTTTTTATGAATTGAATACAAATTGACACCAGCATGTGAAAAAGTTTAACAACAAAAGAAAAATACAGTAGGACTTTATATGTATATTTAATTTCAGACAGGAAGGGATAGAGAGAGAGAGAAAGATAGAAACATCAATGATGAGAGAATTGTTGATGGGATGCCTCCTGTATGCCCTCTAGTAGGAATACAGCCAGCAAGCCGGGCATGTGCCCTGACAAGGAATTGAACTGTGACTTCTTGGTTCATGGGTTGACTCGACCACTTAGTCACACCACCAGGCTCCTCTTCAACTTTTCAATGATGTATTAGAGAGAAAGAGAAAGGAACTAGAGGCTTACAAATTGGAAATGAAGAGGTAAAGCTATCTCAATTTGCAGAAGTTATAATTGTCTTTCTGGAACACTAAAAACAATAAATGAAGAAACTACTAAAAACAATAAGATAATTTATGAAAGCAGTAAAATATAAAATTAACATATCAAAAAAAAAAAAATCAGTAGGCTTCATATGCCCAAGTTAAATGAAAACATTGTTACAGAATGTTCAACAATAACACAGTCCCTTATAAAGTTACTGGATTTTCAAGATGAAGAAAAACTTATTTGAACAGTCAGAGAAACAGTCACACTTAGCTGACATCAGACTTCTCTACAGCAATACTAATCCCATAAAGAAGTAAAGAAATGGCAAAAGTAACCAGTGAAAGATAATATGACTCACAATGTTATGTTCCAATAGTCATAGGAACATAAAGGCAAATGACAAATATTTAAATATATTTAAAATCTCATGAAATTAGCTTTTCCTGGAAAAACAAAAACTACTACATTTCAGAGATGCCATGAGGACCTGAAAACCATACATCACAAGTAATATTAAATAACTTATTACATTGCATCTGTTAAAAACATCTTTAAAAATAGCTAGATTTACCTATAATGTAAACTATGTGGTATTATTTGCTGAGGAAACTATTTGAACCTAGAATTTCAACTTCTAATGGGGAATAATAAAATATCTGAAAATAATATTTACATCACCAATTTAAAACCATCTGATTTGACAATATAACACAAGAGGGAGCTCCTCTGTTGTGTATGAATGTGGAGTGTTGTTAATAATAAAACTGAGGCATAGAACTTCACTAAATGAACAAACTAGTGATCTGTCTGGCCTACTAACATGGATGGGAACTAAAGACAAAAAGGGCTAGGGGGAGGGTTTGGGATGGGAAAGGAGGGATGAGGACAATTATGTGAAACCATAATCAATTAAAAAAATAAGTAAAAATAAAGACAAAAAAAAAGGCAAAATAAAATCTACATAGAAAAATACTTAGCAGTTAAATATCAAGCCCAGCTCAACTCTCACCACCCATTCAGAGGCCCGCAGTCTCCTCTTCCCCAGGCATTTTTCTTCAAATCTTGGAAATTTAAAGGGGCTGTTTTCCTCGGAATTTATTCTGCTGCCTTCACTAAAGCAGAATGTTGCTGTCTGCGATGACATTCCACACCCCCAACAAAAGTTTTGTGAGAGTATTTTTAGGAAGTATCCATATCTCCTGAGAAGCGGAATCGTTTTCTGGGGAATCAGGTCTGCCTCATTGGCTGCACCAGGTACTTTGAGGTGGCTAACTTTAATCAAAAACAGTCTCTTCTGCAACAGCATGGATGGAACTGGAGAGCATTATGCTAAGGGAACCCATGATACATCTGATAATGGATTAATTTCCAAAATACATAAAATCTTACACAAATAATATGGTTTTAAAAATGGGCAAAGGACCTAATAGAAACTTCCAAAGAGGATACATGAAAAAATATTCAATGTCACTAATCTTCAGAGAGATGCAAATTAAAACCACAATGAAATACTCCTCACATCTGCCAGAATGGCTACCATCAATAAGTCAACAAACAAGTGTTGGTGAGGATGTGGGGCAAAGGAAATCCTAGTGCACTGTGGGTAAGCATGCAGTCACTGATTGATGTAGTCACTGTGAAAAACAGTATTGGAGTCAGCAATCCCACTTCTGGGAATATATCCTAAGAATCATGAAACAACAATTAGAAAGAATATATGCACCTATTCTTTCTAATATATGCACCTGAATGTTCATAGCAGCATTTCTTACAATAACTAAGATATATAAATAGCCCAAGAGCCCATGAGTGGATAAAAAAGCTGTGGTACATTTTCACC